CCCCATCACCTGACTTCTCCAGCTTCGGAGGCAATTTACCCCAACAGTACCCACTTGGCAGCTCTTGCTCTAATGCTCGGCTAATAGCTGTCTGTTCCAGGCGCTGTCCAAACGCATACTATAAATCAGAATCCAATTACTGTGGTAAGAAAATTGGAAGCAAATTTAATAAGCTCAGACCCCTCCCACGTGCGCTTCCTTCACTCTTCTCTTTTCAATAGCGAGAATTCTTCAGGAAGAAAAAAGCCCCTTTCCCGTAACTCTAGGACTGCTCTCTTGGTCTCTCATACGAAGCTCCTGAGGGTCAATGGATAACGAGAGGGGCTTCTTTTAGCTCCCCCTCTCCTCTCTGCTTGGAAGGCAGGTGGGAGAAAGTGGCTGACGGTCTCTCTGGCCTGTCTTTCTCTTTTATTTATTAAGCAAACAGACAATGGATCCCTATCTCACAGCAGACGCTGTAATAGACCTTCCATGTGCTCCTTACCCTACAGAGCAATTGACACCACAGCTAGCAGGACTTGTGCTGAGATGCAGGACGGGGATGCAAACTGCCTTAGCAGGAGCAAAGCCTGCTTCCCTGGGGCTCGGCTCCATGAATGAGGCAGGCAGCCAGTGTAGGTCACTGACCAGGGGGTAAGAATTGAATTGCAGGAGACACTTCTTAGGAGCAGCGATGCCAGTTACCAAAAGGATGGCAGGATGAGGACGGTGGGTGAAGGTAAAGGGAAAGAGGGAACAAAAGAGGCCAGCCTCCACATGGCCAGAGCCAGAGACACTGGCACTTGGACAGAGGGAGGGGTACACAATATATGGCATTGGGTACGCTTATCTCAGGGCCTCTACTCTCTCCTTAAACCCTGGGCCTTTAGGTAGAACCAGCTCATACATGGATTTCATCCAGACCACAGAAGTGGGCCGCCAGAGCTAGCCTGTGCTTCCTAGTATCTAAAAGGGCAAGCTCCCGAACCACCTGAGGTCTTGCTGAGCTAAATAGCTGGGATTCACTCCAAGGTTTTTGGGTGAAGCCTAAGAATGTGCATTTCCAACATGTGCCTAGTTGATGCCAATGCTGTTGGTCCTTTGGTCTGGAAAGCCAGACTCTGAAAGCTACAGTGAATCCTTGTCCTTCAAAGTGTGATCCATAGCCCGTAGTCATTGTCACTGGGGAATGTGTCAGACATGCAGAACCTCAGAACTGGAGAGAAGGTGCAGTGGCTAAGAGCCCTTGCTGCTCTTCCAGAGAACCCAGGCTTGGTTCTTAGGACCCACTTGGTGGCTCACTGTTACCAATAGTTCAAGTTCTCAGGGATCTAAATCCCTATTTTGGCCTCCTCCAACACAGTGGCACTCACTCTCTCAAACACACAGACACATAAGTAAAAACTTATAAAATAAAAAGCTTAAAAAAAAAAAAAAACAAAGAACTGCAGCCTGTGAGGCCCCACCCTGCATCTGCTGAGTCGGGTGGAGAGAATTCTCAGATGACTTGTCTGTTTGCCCGTTTAAGCCTGAGAAGCCCTTACCCAGAGCGGCTGCCCTCAAGCCTTGCTGCTCATTAGAGTCACTTGGGAGCTGAGCAAGGACACACTTGAGTTGATTGGAGTCTGGGTATCAACATATTTAAAAGGCTCCCCAAGTGCCTCTCGTGAGAAGCCTGGATTGAGAGCGGCTTAGACTGCTGCTGAATAGCCAGCATGCCACTCCATGTTGTTGCTCAGTCTCCTTCTCTGGCTTTGAGCCCGGCCTTGAACCCCAGTCTCTGTCCTTCTCCATCCCCACTGCCACACCTTCACAGTTTAGCATCTTCATCCTAGTCCTCGGGCTGGTACCTAATTCGTTTGTTTTCTACCCAGCATGTTTCTCTTCCACATGAGGCTCAGCCATCATTGCATAGTACGGTTTTTAATATCAACTATAAAATAGGTCAATGCTGTCTACATATTTTATTTGATCCTTGTAACAAGTAACGTGGGTGGGATTCTTACTGTTATTTTTATCCCTGCTTTTAAAAGAGGAAGGCAAGGTGTGGAGAAAGTTAGTGAGTCCCTTCATCTAGCCAGCCGTACAGCCAGGATGAGAAAGGATGTCTGATCCCAAAGACCCTTGTTCTGACCCTCTGGTGACCTTCTCTTCACTCCGCTTTACATTGGAGCTCTGGCCTGACCTTGCTGGTGAGGGACTGGTGATAAATATTTTCTTTTCACCTCTGGAGATTTGGATAAAAACCAAGGCCAGATTTACAGCAGTGAACCTCATTGAAATTTTGTCCTCCAAAAAAAGACATATGGGAAAGATATTTTTGGTTATCACAACTTGGTGTGGAATGGGGCAGGGGAGGAATATTGGCAACTAGCAAGCAGGGGCCAGAGAAGCTGCTAGAATCCTGTAATGTCCAGAACACCTCCTCAATGAGGAATCACAGAGCCAAAACTGTCATCAGTGTTTCTGTCAAGAACCCCTGACAACTATTAGCAATGCTACTCATAGCTGAGGTAGGAAGACCCCAAAGTGAGCCCCAGGGTTCTATTGGCCTGGGTGGACAAGCTCTTGGGGCTGCTTCAGGACCCATCAGGAAGACTGGGCTCACAGAAGGATTAGAAAACTTGGCGTGGGACTCCAGCCATGGAGTGATGGTTTCCATAAGCAGGAGCTGGGTGAAGGGGAGCATGTACCTAGGACATCACCCAATGATTTGAGAGAGAAGGACTTGGGCACGATCACAAGATACCACCAGCAGGGGGCAGCACTCTACTAAACTCAGCCTGGGGCTGGATAATCTAATTGGCACCTGCCATAGTGCCAGTCTAGGACTTTGCACTCAGTGAAGGATCAAGGCTCCCAAGTTGACTTCTGGTCCTAGGCACCCATCCCAATTCTGAACCCTTTGATCTCCACTCTTATGCTTTTTTGGATAAAGTTCTCCGAATCCAGAATTCTCCAAGTGGCACACTTCCAACTCCTGCAGGGTAAGGTTGCTGCCCTGAGGCAGGCATATGGCTAATATTCTTTTCCCTTTTGCCTCCTCAAAGAGTGTCTGGATGTTCAGTCCTCTCGGTCCTCTTGCTGTCTCCCTATTGATCCTGTTTGTTAACAGATAGAGTTCTGGGTAGGTACAAAGTCCAGGGCTGGCTGGCCAGTTGGGTTCTTCAATGGGGGGCGGGGGTGGGCAAGCTCAGGTCTTCATTGCCTGCCACCACAAGTCTGACCCTTGTACAAATGTTTGTTTCAGCTTTGCAGATCACAGGTAAAGTGGGAACACAGAACTCAACACACTCAACTGCTTGATGAGCTCCTGGAGCGTCCTCCTGGGGCTGAGAGCAACTCTGATTGCCCTCCAAGGACCCTCGCCTGGTTGTATCAGTACCTTCCCCGCCCAGCACAGGTCCTGTTTCCTTCCTGGGGTGGGGGCGCTGGCATCTAGAATCAGGACAAGAGAGCAACTACTTGCCTAAGACCCAATAGGACTTCTCAGCCTTCTCTCTTTTTACCTGCCCTCCCATGAATAGTTACTGCTCTAGGAAATATAATAACTTGATATTTAAATTTTGCTTAGAGAGAAGTAATAGGATAAGGGTTGGAGAATTCAAATAGCAATATTGAAAAGAATTTCAACAGGACTATGACTTTAAGACAGTTTAGGCCAGTTTGGCGGCAGCGGGGGGGGGGGGGGAGCTCTGGCTATAGGAGACACGGGCAATACTATTTGGGTAGACTCCTTTAAAGGAGAGTTAAGTTTAAAGAGATGGCCACAGTTAGAAGAAGGCAGGCTGTTATCCAGTTTGTACCCTTGCCGCATTTATATGGACAACCAAGACTCCAGCACAATGTAGTCACGATAGTGACTAACAACGACAAGTTGAGTGTCTCCATTGGATGCATGTTGCAAAAGACAAGATTTCCAGGTTGTGCAGCCCCGCTTTGGAAACTAAGATGGAATGACCTCACATAGTAGATACTCAAGAATTACCAACCTGATAAGCCTCAATCATTATAAAAGTCCTTTGCACATCACTCCTTTTTCCCACAACCTAGGGACCCAAACAAACAAAAGAGGCCAAGTTGAGAGTCTAAAGTCAATACTCTATGCCTTAAGTCAACACTATACCCTTCCAGCTGAAAAGCCTGAGAGTCTCTTCCACCCCAGTGGCCAGGTTGCTGCTGGAGTGAGTGCCAAGTCAGTGTCATGAGGAAATAAAAGTCATCTCTGTGGGACTCTTTGGCAGGTCTGGGCCAAAGCCTGGAGGCTGGGAGGGGAAAATAGGGTTAGGACCAAATTGCTTTGTCTGTTATCAGTAGGAAGCTTAGGGACCACAGGGACTGAAGGAGCAGGTGGTGATAAGACAATGCAGCTTCCATTTTTGCAAAGCCTCCTTCTGTGGAAAAAGAGCTTTCTACGTTGGCTTAGGCCTGCTGTCTGTCGCCTTCTGGCCTATCCAAGCCGGTGGCAAAAAGGAAGCATTAGGAATGGACCCCCGGGCAGGCAGAGGGGAAACCAACGTCAAGGGAAGAGGGCCCTCAGATTCTCTTCTCGTGTGACAAAATGCACATGACAGAAAGGATTTTCCCCTGTGACAGGAGGGACAGCAACCTGGATTCCTGAAGGCATACCCATCTTGTTCTTCCACTTAGAAAGCCAGGCTGGACCACAGGACTTGGCCAGGGGAAACCAGGCCCTGCCTTCACGAGTGTTACAGAATTCAGCACCTAGGATGCTCACCAAGTGAGGTGCAGGTACACCCTCTATGGTGGGCCTCCCACTCTCTTCAACCTCCGAGTAGCAAGCAGGGTCTCTGGGATGGTTTGTGGCAATGTGCAGGGAGTAGCACATATATATTACTCCATCACGTCACTGATATGATGTATCTGATGGCAGAAACTGATTCACCCGTCCCAGTTCATAGCACTGGGTGCTAAGTACTATGGGACCTCAATCAAGCCTGTGCTGATCTGTCCTGGCTCAGAGAAAAGTAAGGTACCTACATGAAAAGAGGAGGAAGTACCTCTTATGCCGTGTGTCTGGGACAGCCCGATTGCTGGAGATCCGCTCGCTCTCCCGCTGGTTGAAGGCATACAGCTTGTAGGGATCATCGCCGACGCGCCACTTTTTGGCATTCAGATACCTCCGCTCGTCAAACTGCTCCCACAGGTCATCCCAATCCGCATCGGAAGGCTGTGTGACATGAATGGAAGTCTGCGTGAGAAGGCTCCCTGCACACCACTGGCTTCCGTCCATCTGTCAGCAACCAGCCAGAGACTAGGCTTGTTCTGGCAACGCTGAGCTCAAACATGGGGCCAGGGGCAGATATTAGCGAAAACACCAGCAATAACAATCGCACACAGAACAATGATACTATTGCTCCTGCCATTTGTCGAGCACAACATACCAAGTCCTAGGACTGTGGCTCCCACACAGTTGTTCGGATTGGCAACTTCACAGGTGAGAATTCAGTCTCACATAAGCATTGTGCCCAAGATCCACACTTAGGAAGTAGCAGAACCCAGGCCAGCATTCTGGTACGCTGACTCAAGAGACCATCTTCCCAGGATGGCATTAGAACATTCTATACATGGTGCAGATAAGCTGGACCACAGTGACTATTCTCTAGGTCATCAATCTACAATGGTGTGTGACCTGCTAGACACCTTGGTCCTTTGTTTCTCCAAGCCAGGAACCCATAGCCACTCTTAGGAAGCATCATATAGGAGGACACAGCACTTCAGAATATGGAAGGTGACTTCCATTTTCATAATATTATCATACTCAAACTCTCTGAGAAGAGTAGGGAAGAAGGGACACAAAAAGGTTAGCGGTCTGGCAAGTGTCAGGCCTTCTGGATCCTTCCAACAAGAGAGGAGAGGGGCTGCCACCCTATCAGAGTCCATGACGCCTGGTTTACCCTACCAACACCAAACCCATAGCCAACAGTTTCTCCAGCCAGCTAGCAGGTCTGAGCATCCTGGCCTAGACCCTGGCAAGCTAGATGTTTGCACTTGGCAGCCACTTCCCAAGAGATGTTACCGTGAGTAGTCTATACCCCCAAACCCCAGACCTTTCAATTCCATCTAAACCACAAATGCACCTCCAGGAAGAACTCCCTGATGCCCCTAAATGGGATGGCTGATGTCCTGGGGCCGGCATTGTTATCAAGCAGAAGCGGCTCATTCATATGACCCTAATAGCTGAGCAAGGATCTCACACTGAACAAATCTTAAGTGAGAAGAAACCGGTTACTCTGTCACAGAATTCTAGCTGTTCTTGCACACCAACACCCAAGTGGGAGGTACAGGGGGAGGCTTGGTGACGGTTGCACAGGCCCCGTGACAGGTAAGAGGGGCTATACCAGCATGCATGCTCCTCTCAGGCACTGTGAGATCTTATCTGGTAATTGATCTCTCTATTCCTCTTTGTTATCTCTGTTTGAAACAGCATTTCCCTCTAATAGCATAAAATGAAGCTCTGGAAACGGGCGATTTTATCCAATAATTGATTTTATTAGTGTCTTATGATATTGCTGCTCCGGAACACGCTAGGGGGAACGCGGGTGGGTGTGGAAAACCCATAACCTGTGCTGTGCAATGTCACGACTTGACAGCTGTCACCTCTGGTGGGAACATCACCCCAGGGTAACCCTGACATCCCATCCTCATGGGAAGGGTCGTAGAACTGCCTTCCATTGGCTCACTGCCAACTTAATTCATTACTATTCTCTAAGTAAGCTGTAACCCTCACAGTGCTCTGAGCTAACAGGGAGTGAAGAGGTGACAATAGTACCTGTCCTGGAGAGGTCCTGCTCTGTGTACTGGCATAGACAGAAAGACACACACACACAGACACACACACAGACACAGATAGACACACACAGATAGACACACACATAGACACACATAGATACACACACAGACACAGACTATTCGTGAGTGTGGGATAGAATAACAGAGCCAATAGTGTGCATGTGTCTACAAGAATTTATAAAATCCGGCTTGGTGGCATAGACCTCTGTGATCTATGAGGTTGGCTGCACCTGTGTGGAGCCCTAGATTCAAAACCTAACTGAAAACATAAGCCAAAGAAAAAAGTTTATAGACTATTAAAAAATTGCTTGTGTACTTATGAGGCTGACAAGATCTGGTGTTGGTCATATCTCCAAAATGATATTTGACCAAATGCCTGGGCACCCTGTGGCCCAGTTACATTGGTATAGAATGAAATATTCAGAGGATATACATAAAGGAAGACTCTGGAAAACAGCTGAGTCTTAGAAAGTAGGCCATAGGGAAAATGATTCTGGCTAAACAAGTGGGATGAAGAAGAGGGAAGAAAACTTCCACAAAATGACTGGTTAGGAAATGATCTTGATAGATCTTGATGTCTGAACTGGGGTCTTGCAGCTCAACAAAGCAGATGGAGGACCAGGCACCCTTGGCAACAAGAGGCTGGGGACAAGGACGCAACCCACCTCTTGGGCCTTTTGCATCAAGCAGAGGCGTGGAGCCGCGAGGGCAGGAGGCCAGAAGTTTCTTGGCCTGGCTCTCTCCACCCACGAGGCAGCTAAGCATCCCTGGTATCTCTGGCAGGCACAGTCTTTGTGGAGAAGGTGCCATGAAGACTCAGCTGGAATTCTGGCCCCAGAATATGGGGACAGCAGCCAGCTGGCAGGATAAATCATATGAAAAGTCAGTAGGAGGCAGCCTTGGAGGGGACTGTTCCTCTCAGGGCGTTTAGACATCACATGGTGCTCATTCACAGCTTGCTGCGTCGAGACCCCTCAAGGAGGACAACCTATACTGGGAGCTGATCTTTCCCACAGGGACATCTGGACGTGTTATATAATGGGGAAGGTATTTTCAAAATGGTAACGGTAATATTTTATGTTGCATATGTGCACATAGATTGTCACAGATTCCTCCCAGGACTGATCTCCATCTGTACAGGGAGGGATCTGCTTATGGAAGCTGGTAGGTAGCTTACACAAGCTCATCACCTTGCAAGGGATGGGTCCACTGACTTAGTCCTACTACAGAAGCTCCCACCTCCACAGACAGAGTCAACAGGAGGGTAAAACATGTCCCAAGGGCCAAAATAGGTTCAGCAAGGACCTCACAGAGCCTATGGAAAAGCCTCTTCACTGGGACCGTGACTTCCATAATGACTTACTTCGCATTAAATGTGCATTGACGCAGATATCCTATGAAATTCCATTCCTTAGAGTGGTGCTTCCTACATGCCATTTATACTTTATTTTATTTTACCCTTCTTGCTTCAGACTCACTATTCTCGAGTAGGACAGCTCCCCTTAGAAAAGGACAGTGCCGAGCCTGAGCAGGAAGCCATTGGAAGAGAGGGCTCTCATCTCATCTAGGCTCTGCTGCCTGGTTATAAATGCTTCTCGTCCTTGCTGGAAGCAGGTTGACTAGAACCTGCTACTGCACGTGTCTTCCGCGTGGCAACTGCATGCAAGGCCTTGGCCTCTGTCCCTTCCTCTGCCCGTGTGTAGCATGTATGTCCTGTCCAACTTGTGTGATATGAGCAGCATATCTCAGATTTATCTCTATAGCATGCCACACTCTACAGCGTTCATATACAGACATGTGTGGTCTACTCCACCATCCTCCAGTCCCCAGGTACCTCTACTTTCTCCCTGAGCAAGTCCGTGTTTTCCAGTGTAGCTTTTACCCAAGCCTTGCCTTAGATACTAGACGATGTTTGCTTGCCCAAGTAATGGTATCAATGCCCAGTTGCCCATAGTTGCTGCTACTTTTAGATTTATCTTACATATGTAAATCTTTTGCCTGCACGCATGTGTGTGTGTTACATGAATGACAAGTGAGGTCAGAAGAGGGCATCAGATCCCCTGGTTACAGAAGGTTGTGAGCTACCATGTGGGTACTGGGAATCAAGCCGGATCCTCTGCGAGAGCAGCCAGTGGACTTACTCACTCTTGCCACCCCCAATTTGCTGATTCTTGAATGTATTCTTGTATTAGACAAGGCTCCCCTGAGAAATAGAATCGCTCTCTCCCTCTCTCTCTCTCCCTCTCTCTATGGGGGTGGGGGATAAGGGACCAGGGAAAAAGCTCACTCACTCACGACTTGCAACCTAAGGCCAATGGCAGTCTTTGCCTGCCGAATTCCTCCTTTCTGGGAGAGAGGGAGAGGCCAGTCTTCATCTCAAGCCTTCAGCTGACTGGATGAAGTCCAGCCGCACTTTGGAGTAGATTCTGTTTTACTCACAGCCCACCGATTTCAACGTTACTGTCATTTAAAACCACCCTTGCAGAAACATCCAGGATAGTGTTTGACCACATACCCGGACCCTGTGGTTTTCACGGCGCCTCTATCACAGCCTCAGAGGGAAGGGCTGTGTGGAGAATAGCCATTGCAGATCCTTACAGATTTGAAATCCAATAGTCCCAGTTTTCAAATGAGGAAAATGAGATATGGGGAGGACAAATGGTGTGCTCGAGTTGATAGAAGGGGTATGTTCTCTAAGCCTGGACTAACCCCCCATGTCTCAGTAGACACTGTTTCTAAGCCAGCTGTAGGTGACTGGAGCCCCACCTGCTCACACCCAGGCTGTTTACAGGACCACAGCTCTGACCAGTGTCCCCACCCTCAGCCCAGCACTGTTTCCCATCCACTGTGTGCTGCTCCAGCACCACAGCAGGTCAGGGGCTTCCTGGGAACTCTTCCTGCCAACCAATAAGCTACCACCACCCCATGCACCTGATGGGTTCTCTACAAGGAAAATCTTTAACCCCCATCGAGGGTGAGGCTAGGGAACACGCAGGAGGTTGCTGTCAATAGAACTGGGGCGGTGGAATACTGAACAAGGGGGAAATGTGAGGTTGCCCCAAAGTTAAAGATCTCTGAGAAGTTAAACCTTGGCTCCCAGAAGATGGAAGATTAAAGCCCATTCTGAAGTAATTAAGCCTAAGAAGGGGATGGAGGAGCATCGATGGGCGGTGCATTTGACTTTCAGGAAAGGGGGAATTGCTTATTCTGACTGGGAGAGAGCGTCTGTTTTCCAGACCCTGGGACTCCAACAAGGATCAGCGAAAGAATTGGAAAAAAAAAAGAAAGAAAAAGAAAAATCACCACATCACCAGAGAGAGAGAGAGAGAGAGAGAGAGAGAGAGAGAGAGAGAGAGAGAGAATTGCTACTTTAGATAA